AGTTGTTGACTATGAGTTGGTTATACATTGATTGCACGTAAACGCATTGGTAACTCGATGTTATAAAACGTGCCTTTGTGTATGATTCAACAAGTAGTCAGTACAAGCATATGAGTCGAAGTTTATCCATTCCTTTTACCTTCGGGATAAAAGCGATATCTGTGGGCCCCTCGATGATTTAGTGATGACAAAATGTAAGTGCTCGGCCGGGCCTGGACTGATTTGATTTGTTCAATTAGTCAGTCATCATAAATCGGAAATCGGGAAACAACAAATGGACAGAGAGAATGATTATAATCCATGTCTCAGTCCATATGATATCTAGAATGGAGAAATATATGATCACTTATCTAATGGACGCGTCATTGATTTGTTCAGAGTTCGGCAGCAGCTTTTAAGAGCTACGATTGCTGGTCAGGTTGTGAAGGCGTACTTGCAATAATAGTTATTAGACTTATCCAAGTGGGAGACTGTTGGATTAGTGTCTAAGTCCATAACTATAATTGGTATATACTTGACCCGACCCGGCATGGTCCATTTGGGTTGCATGACATCAGAACATTTGGATAGACCTTTTAATGAGAAGAAGATATTTGTGACATATTAATATATTATAAGTTCTAATATATTAATATGAAATCATATTATTTAATTAGTATTGATCTAGAATTAATTTGGAATTAATTTAGTGATCAAAAGAGACTAATTAAATATATGGGGATTGATTGTGTAAATCATAGATTCTTATATATGTGGGCTCATGATCCATGATTCCTTATGTTGGGTTTAACCCATGTGGTGGCCCATGGATACTCCATGGAGGTTAAAACCCATGGAGCATAAGGAATGGGTTAAGTCATGGGTTACATGGTGTAACCCTAATGTGCACACTATATAAAGACCCCATTGTTGGTGAAATCGGCACTAGTGTATTACATAGAGGGCAAGCCGATTTCATAGAGATATAAGACTAATATCTTCTCTCATGGTTATTCCAAATGTTCTTGGTGTTGTGTGAACCATTTGAGGTGTCACACTTGGGGCACTAGGCTCTTGGGCTCCATGGAATCAAGCACCAAACAAGAGGTATGTAATTCTACTAGATTTTATATTATATGTACTTCATAATATGCTAGTTAGGATAAATACCTTGGAAAATTGATATTTGCATGTATAATAGAGAAAACATAGATCCAAGGTATTTAGGGTTGCATATACACCATAGGAGTGTTAGAATGCTCAAAACCCAACACTTTGTTGGTAATGATTGTGTTTTGGCATTAATCTGTTATGGTGCCCTTTTGGTAATGTAGTTTGTTATTGGTTTATTTTGTATTGTCAAAGCATGAAGATGTTATGGCAATGCACTTAATATATGCATGTAAAACCATTACACTTGCATAACATGTCAAGATAAAACCTTTATAATTTCATATTCATAAAAAGATAAAACCATTACACTTCCCATTATCATAAAAGCATTACATATCCAATGATCCAAAAGACAACACTTACAACATATATAAACCACAATTACACCTTCTAGCACCAAAAGACAACATTTTCAAGTGGTTATTACCAACAAAAAAGCCCTAAACCTTCTAATTCCTAATTCCAAAACAGCACAAACAACAGAAACAAGACCCACGAGGCAAGCAAACACATCTTCAGCTGACCCACTTCAACCTCATACCTATTCATTGTTCTCAACAGTCCTGGTATGATAACAATTGATCTTTGACACATAGGGGGATCGACCCACCCCAAAAATCCACATCTGGATCCCTATAAGAATACATTAAAGTAGAAGAGTTATTGCATAACTACCGAAAATATCATAACCTAATATGGGTTTGCTTACCATTTTAGGGCATGCATAGAAACGACGACCAGGGTTTCGTGAGGTCCATGAGGTTCGCACAACAACAACATTCCCACAGAAGCATATCACCATTTTTGAAGCTCGTAACAGTAGAAGCAGATGAAAGACGAAGAAGAAGAAGACCTTTGTTGTTGCTTCTCTGTAAATCAAAATGAAGAAGAAGAAGGGGATTGTGTATGAGTCTGTATATAAAGGAGAAATATGATATTATTTAAAATAAGGACCTAAAATGACCAAAATGCCCTCACATGGAGGGCACGTGATGGCATTAACGGCTCCAAACAAACGGAAAATGACAGAATGGACTAAAAACCCATGAAAACCTTGATTTTGGACCTTTGGTGCAAGCTGGAAACTTTTTGGACCCCATCCAAAGGTTTTGGCAAACCACAAGGACCAAATTTGCAGTTTTGTCAAAAAATAAGGAAAGTAGAAGGGGTAGCTTGTCATACGTGAAACTACCACTAAATAAGGCAAAACGAGAATTGGGGGAGTTTTGATAACCTTTGAAAGTTTAGGGACTGAACGTGTAAAATAAGTTTCTTATGCATGAAACTAGATTATAACCCACGTTAAACGCGGGGGAACGTATTAAAAAATTTACCAAAACATTTATATATATTGCATAATAATTATAAAAAGAAAGTTTATAGCTATTGTTATTATTGAAAGGTGAAGAAGAAACACTGAAATCGATAAATAACTATAAACGTTGCAAGACCTCTTTGTAGACATCGTTTTTTGTTTTGTTAGTTGAACGACCTTCCTCGTCACATATGAGTACCTTCAAACCTTTTTTGCTTGTTACACAAGAAACAACTACATATAACTGATCATGGGTGAAGACTGGTCTACGCAAGTATAATCCAACATTTGATAATGACTGTCCTTGACTTTTGTTAATGGTCATAGCGAAACAAACTGCTATTGGGAATTGCCTACGTAGAAATAAAACGGAATGGAATTTTTTTATCGGATGGGGTCAACTTTATGCGAGGTATATAAGTAGTCTCGTTAAAAAATCTATCAGATATGATTCGTGCTTCAATGACGTGTCTTCCAAGCCTTACGATTTGTAATCTAGTACCATTGCATAGTCCTCTGGTTTGGTCGATATTACGAAGCAACATGAACGGAACACCTTTTTTAGTATAAGTTTATGGTTGAGAATTCTGGAGGCCTTAAAAGCGTTCAACACATCCGGAGAGTATACTAATTCCTCAAAAGAATCTTCTGTCTCGGTCTCACATAAGGAATCTGAACTCAGATATGTTTTCCCTTCATCTTTCATCAATTCTAACATGTAGTCGTTGATAGCATCAACTTCTTCGTTAGTAGGGACCAAAATAGCTTTATCTTGAAAATACGATGGATCATCAAGATGGTTTTGAAAAGATGAATAAATGCAGGATACAATTGAATGAATATGGTCACCCGTAGAGGGAACGATCACATCTTCTGGAAATTCAACTTCAACTTCACCATCATTCGGACTACCAATAGTACCTTCACCAATTTTAAGAATCCAATCAGCAAATGATTTTGTCTCTTCGAAATCATTGTTTGGACAACCGAACTGAAGCCTCATGTTTACAGTCAAACGTAAAACTGTACATTCACGCCATAATAAATGTTGGTATTCATACATGTTGTATACTGTAAAAATGTAAGATGAAGTACATAAAGTTGGAGAGAAGAGTAAATGCATAAATGGATATCATAACATACCATAAAAATGATTATACAAATAATTGAATTAAAGGATATTGGTGAAGAAAATAATGAATTAAAGTTGGTTAACAAATATAGATAGTTTACAATTTTTTTTTCAACTATGAATTATGGACTTTGTTTAAGTATGTAGACTTCCATTATTTTTGTATTTTTGGTTTATAATTAACTTTTATATATTTGTTTTTTGTTAGGTTTTTATATGCGTTTTGTTGACACAAATCTATTTAAATGAAAACAATTACACTTTTGAATGTAAATAAAATAAACCTAATTAAAAACTATAAATCACGGAAAAATAAGTATAAACAATGAAATGCGTACCTTTTTGCCTTTGATTAACCAAGCTAACAATTGTTTACTGCTATAGAAGGTTGTAGAAAGGAAGAAGTATTGATTTAGTATCGTGAATATCAATATAAACGAAGAGGTAAAAACATAGATAAAACACAATAAAAACCCACCTTTTGCAGGAGCGTGGAAGGAAAAATAAAAATGGGTTTTGGCAGAATATGTCATATATATGTATTGAATCCAAGTTGGTTTTGGAGGGATAAGATAAAAGTCATTCTTATCTTATCCCTTAAATGTTGAATTTCAAAATGTAGTTAGGATAGATAATATACAACATTTTAGGATTATTTTTTAAAATTTAAAATTAGGTTAATGTTGATGGTTAGTTTGGAAAAAATGATAATTTTTATAACAGCCCAAGAATATATTATTTATCAAATCGGCTCCATGACTTTACATTTAATATCAAACAGCCCCTACTACATATTGTTTATATGTAAGCATTTTACTTTGAAAAGTGTACAAATTAAGACATTGTATTTTCATTTTCTTATTGAAGACACATTTCATTTGGAAAAACCATGTACTTTATTCAATTATTTGTTTGTCATTGCAGGTATGTTATTTTTGTTTTTTTATAGAATTGCATGTCAACATAGTTTGTTACGAACAATAAAAAAAATTATTGTTATAAAATCTTGTTTGTGGAATAACAAACTCAGTGGCTTAAGTCAAATATTAAGGAGATTGCCTTTAAACTTAAAACAAATTGACAATAATAGACTTGGTCAACATAGTTTGTTATTTAAACTTAAAACAAATTGACAATAATAGACTTGGTCAACGTAGTTTGTAACATAAGTTGAGGTGAAAATATATCAAAAGATGTAAAAGTTAAAATTAATAAAAAGAATTCAACATAATTATGAACTTGTCTCAAATAACACGACTACTATTGTGTTATAATTAAATGAAAACAAACATAATCTTCAAAATGAAAACAACGTACTTGTCAAAGAAATCCTTAAGCAAATACTAAAAACTCAAAGAAAAATCATCAATGATAAATGTCAAATAATCATAACTGTTAAATTTATTCGAGTTTTTCCATTTTTGGAATCTTAAGGGTATGAGGAGCAACACCATCTTTTGAGGAAGACCATTCAGACAATTCAGTGGTGGTAACAATCTCAATAGGGCGTTTCAGTGAAGTAGTTGTCGGTGTCACCGCATCAAGATCAACAACATTAATATTGTCACCTTCAACAGAAACACTCTTTTCCTGTATCAAATTAATAAAACAATGTTAATTAACAACATTAATATTGTCACCGCATCAAGAATAAATTTTTATTAACAATGTTAAAATGCTAAATTATATGAATTTAATTTTACCTTAATAGACTTGTTGATAGGAGTACCATCAGAATGAATACTGTTTTCTTCGTATGCAGGTGAATGTTTGAAAACTGCACCAACTACAAGTTCATCATTAGTCATCTTATGAACGGTGTAGGCGTGATAATTGTTCTCGAGATCAAACTTTGAAATCTGAACTTTAAAAACAAACTTCCTATTAAGCATCGTATTGAACTCATCGGGGATCTTTTGGCGTCCTTGATCCTAAAGAATATTATAATAAAACATGTGAGTAGTTAATAAATCCCGATTAAAATAAAATGCAATAACAATATACAGTTAACTTGTCGTGTGTACAAATTAATAGAATAGTATAATATAACGCTACCTTTGGTATCTTTTCCATCAACCAATGATTACCACGGTGAATAAGATCTTTAACATGACGGTCAAACAATACAAAAGAAGCAGACCCAGTTTCATCTTAAACACGTTTTACGACCCTTACCCTAAATATTATTGTATGACACGTTAATGGACAATGAAATAAAAATTGAAACATTGTAATAAAGATTCATGAGACAAGAAGTTTACAAATGTAAAATTATGAACTTACTTGCCGAATACATCAGAAACTCCTCCGCAACCATTACAATTAAATGGTTCACCATCACCATCATCAGCATTTTTAGTTACCTTTTTTGAACAGTCACGACAATAAAAAGAATATTATCCTTCCTCCAAATCGAAACCGATTATAGTAGCAATGATAGACAAACCAATTTCCTGATTGGTAAAAATACATACATACATACATACATACATACATACATACATATATATATATATATATATATATATATATATATATATATATATATATATATATATATATATATACACACACATACACACACATTAAAAAAATTGTTATATATAATGGAAAAATATGAATAATATTAAGTATACCTCATTGTAATCTGGAATATCATCAATGTTTTTTATTTGAAAATGGATGTAGTAATCTTCTGGCTTGGCCACAACAGTTTCTGTGTTAAGTTGTGTAGTATTAATGGAAGACTCAACATTCAAATCGATATCAGCAATGCTACATATAAGAAGGAAAAATGAAGAAGATCAACAATAATAATAATTATTGATTAAGAATAAGTAAAAATAAAACAGTAAATAATTATATCATAGTCATCAAATACATATGCCTTTTTAAATTCTGAAATATGATGCATATCATCATTAATATGCAATCTCGACCAAAATAAACAGTTACCGACTTGTGGCTGACCTATAAATAACAATTGAAGTAATAGATTATTTCATATTATAAATAAAATATTAATGTAATGAGAATAGACATCTAAAATTAATTATTCTTACCACCCCAAGTCTTGAGCTTTGCCATACGTAAGAGGATGATCACATGAGCATTTTCATTTTGATGTTCAGATATGTAGCTGTTCAACTTCAATGCAAAACCATCCCACAAAGCAACTTACATTTTTCTACCACTATAATGGATTGTTTGGGTTATATGAATAAAATATTAAACATGATAAATTAATGAAAAATAAAGAAAAGTACCTCAGATCTTGTGCAACAATACTCATTAGCCTTGTTTCCCTTGCATTCTCCTTAATCACTCTCATGGGTTCAGTAGATACAACTTGACCAATAAAAACTACAAAAAGTAAATTTGAATCAATTATTGTAATATAAATTGGTTAAAAAATATATAATATAATAAATGCAAAACTGTTAAGGGAAAAAAACTCACCAAATGCAACACGAGTGTCAAAATTTCTGGCTGTCGGATCATAAAAACTCACAAAATTAAAAGGATCGATCCTATCAACAAAAGGAGTTTATACACGAATTGTGGTTGTTTTGTAGAAATTTATCTTATGCTTGTGAGCAACCAACATGTAATCTCCTTCGTTTCTGGTCATACCAAAGTTAGTGATTTGCCTTACAGCTCCTTCTTCCAGGAGGGCTTGAAATGCATTTATGAGATTTTTTTTATTGTTGCATGTATTCTAGTGCCCTGTAGGTGATAAAAAATATTATTATATGAAACAAAAATAAAACATAAGTTTTTTTTCATATTATTTTAATCTTACCTCCTGGTCTATTAAAATCATGTCCAAGCTGCTGACCATGTTTGGGTTGTTTTTCTATGTCTGTTTCCAAATCATGACAACTTGAACACGAATATTTCATGATTCTTTGGAGGCATCTATGTCAGCCATCTTATCAATGACGATTTCACTGTCACTGTTATGTGACATTTTGCTTGTGCTATGAGAAATAGAAAAGTATTAGAGATAATTATGAGATATAGTGAAAAAAGTAATTCAAATATTCACAAGGTTTTTGTTTAATGTAAATATGATGTTGTTCAATTAACATAGACATTCTTGGTTGGCATACTTAACCATGAAAAAAACAAAAATAAATATTAATTGTATTTTGCAAAATAATAGTTGGCTGCAATTATGGATTAATGGAAGTAGGATGGTATCAAATCAAAACATACATAGTATGTTGATATATTTCACAGAAAACAACAAAGCAAAAAAAAAATGAGTATGAACACTTATCATATAGAAAGCTGTAGAAGGCTGTCAAAAGGAAGAAGTATTGATAAACGATGAAATGTGTACCTTTTTGCCTTTGATTAACCAAGCTAACAATTGTTTACTGCTATAGAAGGTTGTAGAAAGGAAGACGTATTGATTTAGTGTCGTGAATATCAATATAAATGAAGAGGTAAAAACATAGATAAAACACAATAAAAACCCACCTTTTGCAGGAGCGTGGAAGGAAAAATAAAAATGGGTTTTGGTGGAATATGTCATATATATGTATTGAATCCAAGTTGGTTTTGGAGGGATAAGATAAAAGTCATTTTTATCTTATCCCTTAAATGTTGAATTTCAAAATGTAGTTAGGATAGATAATGTAGAACATTTTAGGATTATTTTTTAAAATTTAAAATTAGGATAATGTTGATGGTTAGTTAAGTTCCTGTCTTTGGTGACTGATTTTTCGATTTGAATATGGGAAGTAGTTATGATAGACGGAAATAAATAGTGAAATTTTTTGTTAGGATGACATCACCAGAAATATTAAGAACGATCTAAGGGTTGAAATCAATCAAAGAAATCCAATGAATGGTTCTTATTGTTGAAGGTGACATCATCAGGTTTCTGTTTTAATATATATAAAGATTACAGGAATTCTGTCTGTAGCCTCTCCAATCACAACCCTAGGTCATGTTCTACCTAAATAAAAATAGTATAACCTATATATACGATCCTATACGCATTAAATAAGGGGGATACGTGAGTAATACGCAAAAAAAACCGGGAGAAAGAAAGAGAGTTATGATCGGGGGAGGAAGAAGGACGGAAATGGATGTGTTGGGCTCTGCTATCGCGGTTACATGTTCTCCAGCAGGTAAGGCTTGATTTCTGATTTATAGGGGATGTCTCGACCGCTAGCATGTAAGAAAAAGTCCCGATGGCACCCTATGCCACCGGGAAACCACCACATTGTGGCTGTGATTATGATGGGGAATCAGACCTTTTGGGCTTTCTTTATGGGCATTACAATTTAAGAACATCGTCTAGACCTCGTCTCCTCTGGTTACATGGGTATGGGTTTAGTATTGGACTAAATTCCCATATACCACTGGGAACCTTCACAATACCACTCGTGTGGGTTTTGGACAATATATAGCTTTTATAGCTTTTCTCTTGGCCTCTTTCTTCCTATTATGGATGAGTATTGATTACAAGATGACATTATGCTTCTTGATTCATGTGGGTGCTAAGAACACAAAAATAATAGTCATTAATGTCTTATGGTTGTTTCAAAAATTGTACATTGTCATGTGAACCTAAGAACATCCTTGTAAGACTTGTTTCATTCTTATACTTTATGCTTACAACGTTTATAAGACTTTCCCTTACTCCTAGTGTTGTTAAAAGTGACCAAAACCACGAAACAGTCCTATGTTGGCTTAAGGAAGTCCCGAAAGCCTATACACCGAAGAACAATTTTCATGGACTTTTTCTAGCTTGTGAGATATGTTTTGGAATTGGTTTATTTTTTAAGAACTAGTACTAGGTCTTATGTATTTGTATGATTCGTAAGACGGAACTGAACAAAGATAAACAACCAAGGAGACAACAACTCTCCTTGATCTTGCATGCAACATGGAGAAAAATCCGAACTAAATTGGGAAAAACTATAAATGACAAGAGTTGTAGGAAATTTTGCCTTTTTTCAAGGCCAGTGGAATCAACTAAATCGTTGGTATGGTTTATGAGTTATGGCTTGAGAACTTAACAAGGGTCGGGGTAGGAGCAGTGGCGGATGTAGTGTAGAAACAGTGGGGTCCATGGCCCCCACTTGAAAGTAGGACCCATCTTATATATTAGGAAAAAAAATTTAGTCTTTTAAATTTGTGCAGATGCCCCTCTCTTGGCACCCTCTTGAGCATCTTCTCTTATTTAAAGTATGCTCTAATGGATATATTTTTACCCAATTTTAGTTTTCACCATTAGATTTTTTCATTTCTTTTGAAAAACCCATCAAAAACTCCATCTACTTTTATAACTCTTAAGAAACCACGTCAATTTGTTGCTTTCTTCCTGCTGCCACCATTGCCGAAGGAATGCTACAGTTGCCTGAGGGATCTCCGACCACCACCGTCGGAATGGAGTATTGTTAGTTATAGGGTGGACCCCGGTTGATATTTATCCTGGATCCGCCACTGGGTAGGAGTACTTTAGAATCTTATTGATAATGTGTACAAAGTCATGGTGATAAATCCCAAGTTACATACTTAACATAATCGATACCAACAATTAATAGGCTGTAATTGTTTATAGGGTTTCCGTGACAAGCTCACTAGAGAAATTATGGGCCTTTATGTAGGTGAAACAATGTTGTAGAGGCAAATATGAGTACATAATTATTTTTTCTATGCACACATCCCATATAAAAACTATGTCTTTGTTTGGTATGTGTTATTTGTGTATTACCATATGCATCATATAATGTTACATTCAATGTGTTAAATTGTTGTTATCCATTTGTTATATAATACAACAAATGAGCATACATGTAAAAGGGGTTAAATAAGAAATGTTGGGTATGATGACCTATATATAGGTGATAATGAGAAAAAAAACAACTAATAACCTATGTTTAGGTGATAATGGGAAAATGGTGGTATGATGATATACCATATCTATATGCTTTATGAAAAGAGTTTATACCCTAAACCCTAAACCCAAAAGGGTTTGTGCTTTTTGAAAGGGTTTGTTCTTTTTGAAAGGATTATGTTTCATCGAAAACGTTTATGCTTTCTAAAAGGGTTTGTACGTTCTCAAAGGGTTTGTGCTTTATGAAAAGGTGTATGTTAGGTTGTGCTTTGTGAAAAGGCGTATGTTAGGTTGTGCTTTGTGAAAGCTGTGTGTTCTTTGTGAAAGAGGTAATGTATTGTGAAAGGGTAATGCTTTGTGAAAATGTTGTGATTTATGAAAGGGCACGTGCTTTTGTGAAAGAGAAATACTTTGTGAAAAAGGTAATGCATTGTGAAAAGGGTAATGCTTTATGAAAGGGATAATACTTGGAGAAATGGGTAGTGCTTGGTGAAAAAGGTAGTGCTTTATGAGAAAGGGTAGTGCTTTATGAGAAGAGTAGAGTTTTATGAGAGAGTTGTGGCGTTGTGCCTTTAATATGGACATAAGGTGGTAAGTTTGTGCTAAGGACTAATGGGAAGAAAAGTGCAATAAAATGTGTTTGTGCTTAATTGTATTTTATTTTACTGTTTTCTTGATGTGATGATTATAATGTTTCGTATTGAAACTTATATATATGTGTAATTGTGTATTAGTCCTGGCCTTATGTGTCTTATCAGCCTTTCTAGTCTAACATATTACTTTTATGTGTGTCTCAGGTGGCTATTAGTAAGCGATGCTTGAGAGTTTTGGTTTTTACCCACTATGATTGGTTCGGGTAAGCTTTTACTTATGAATTTATATACACGAGTTGACATCCCATGAGTTTGAAATGATAATTGGTTAGATAAAGAGAATTGTTTTAAAACTAGAGTATAAACTTCTTTTAAAGATAACCAAGCAAAATTTTGGGATGTCACAAAGCCTCTTTTAGGAGTGCACAATCATTGAACCAAATCTTGACACCTCATAAACCATCCTTCCTCATAAACATGTCGACTTGAAGAACCACCTTTTGTGTTGTCAATAACAAGAATATTACAACATTCTTCCACTAAACAACTCAACTTATCTCCTCCTAAGATCTAGTGATTTCATTCTTTAACGTCTATGGCTTAAACAATCAAACCTTGTAAATAAAATCGATTAAACCAACACCCAATTGGCTCCAATTCACCCCTTCGGTTAGTCATTGAAATTCGTTACCTAATAATAAACCAAACACCACTTTCTTGATCAAAATACCCACATTAAAATCAAACTGGTCACCACCCAACTGAAACCCTTTTACTCTTTAATCAATCTATTTTTAAATGGTAGCCAACCCCTTGTTCTTGAACCTCACAGACACCAACTTAACCTCTTTAAGAACTTTTATTGAATACTTGGTGTGCTTACTTTGAAACTCCACTTCAACCCAAAAGTTCTTTTATATGGATCTCATTTTCTATTCAAATCTCCGTAAAAACACAATTTAACAAAAGAAATGACTGCCTTTGTTACTTCAATGTGAAATTGACAAAGTCCTCAAAAAAAAACTTTTCTAAAAGAAACTCACCTAAGTGCGAATGAAGAACTCTTGTTGCTTTGTTCTTGATCGATCAAAAATTCCACTTGAAGGCAATTTATGGATCCTCACTCAACAATTTCTTTACCACTCCAATAAATCTTCAACGAAAACTCTAAACAATAACCTTTTATAGCAACCCCATCATTCGATTAAAAAAACTCACTCATAAGCTGTGACGCCGATTTATTGTGCCAATGCGAAAGCTTAAACCAATAATTAGGAAAGAAATTGTTGACGAAATTAAAAAAAATCAACAATTTTTTTAATTTCATATTTAATGGTGAATACATACAGTACAAAGACAACAGAAAGGAACACAATAAATAATGTTGCGAGTCACCTCAACTAAGAATGCAAAATAATCAACTCACCTCAACTAAGGAATGCAAAATAATCAAACTTTTATCAAATGATTTTAGCGTGTACTAAGTGGATTTAAAAGTCACAAAGTTTGAGTTTGAATAATGAGTCTTGACTTAGATTCTTAAAAAGAAATTCAAACCTTGTATATGTAATACCTTTTTAAGGCATGACGTCTCAAAGTTGAATTATGTGTTAGAACATGGATTAATTCAATTTTGAAGTGTTCCATATCAAATTATGTTTTAATATTTTTTTGGTGAAACCCAAGTTGAGTTTATTATATACCAAATGGCAAATGATGTATTATTTGTAACGGCGTAACATTCCAAAGTTGAATTCTGAAAGATTTAAACATGAATTAATTCAATTTTGAAGTGTTTCATAACAAATAATGTGTTAATATTTTCTGCTAAACTCAAGTTGAGTTTATTTCATTGCCTTTGATGAATATTTTTGAACTATCAAATCAAATTCAAACTTAGTCTACGCAACAAGACAAACTCAAACTTTAATTTCACCAGTGGTTTTAACTTTTAAGCCCTGTCGAATCATCTAAAAATGCCTAATTTCGATTTATAAATCAGATAAGATAATAATAATAAAAAAAACGAAAATCACAACATTTGATAAAAAAGTAAATAAGTTAAGTTGTAGTATCATCATCAATCATTATCATATAGACCTCATGGTCATGGATGGAGCGTGTTTTGTGTTCTATAGGATGACCACACCACCCAGATATCTTCTAAAAGCCAAACATCATAAGTGAATATCTCTTTGTAAGATACATCTTTCTAAAAGCAAACTACTTTATTATAAAAAACATACAATGAGAAATTATTGTTGTAGATTTAGAACTTAATATTGTTCTTCTATTTAAAAGTAAATTACAGAAATGGTCCTGTGGTTTAGTCAAATTAACAGTTTTGTCCTTATATTCAAAAATTGATAATGTTTTTAACTAGCAAGATTTTCAATTGCAACGAACTATATCATTGAAATTGTAGGGAGATAGATATGGTAATGTACGAAAGAACAAACAAAGAAAGTCTCAGAATGTTGTTAATGTTTGCATTTAAACTAATTAAACTGCAATCGTACGTTTGTTTACTATGACACAACATCTAAAACAGGCTTCGAAAACACTCAAACCTAACCAAACCCGTATATTACATTGATAGTAGTAGGGAAACACATAAGCAGAAGACGAGAAGACAAGAATCAGAGAAATCAGTTGCATTTAAATGAAAATTAAGCAGTGTCAATTTAAAAAAAAATAAAAAAATAGGGAGTTGATATAAACGAGTGGGTATCCATCATATATATATATATATATATATATATATATATATATATATATATATATATATATATATATATATTCCAAAATGACTCATTTCAAATCAGGGTGCTTAAATGAACAAAACTTAGTCATTATTTATAATTCTATAATAAATTCATGTGATCATATTTGTTATTAACCTTATAATATAACTCAATTTTCATTTTCGGTAATTTGATTATTTGTTCGTAGCTTAGATATCAATTTTGAGAATATATTTATTATTTATTTAAGTTGAAAATTGATATATTTTACAGGGCAAATTACAGAAAAATACAATCATTTATCTATTAAAAAAAATAAGCAAAGTCAACTACTTTACTTAAGTAAATGATCGTTGAGTAAATGATCTATTTCTCGCATTTTACCTTGGACAAGAGGCAACATTGTTTATGTTTGATTTTATGTTTATCTAAAAACGAAAATGATAAATGTCATGTCACAAAAAAATTGATAAATATAAGGATTCTTCTTAATATGATTTTCATTATTATAAATAGTTAAATACAATATAGTGTTTATTTTTGAATTCACTCTAATTTTCCCCAATTTCAGTCAATTTTCATTAAAAACCGCTTCAAGATTTTTTCCCATTTTCCATGTTTCAGCTTTAAACGACCACGAGAATTTCTTTGCCGAATGGGTGTAGTTATTATTTAACATCGATTTCTTCAACTAAAGCAGCGGCAATGATTCATGTAGCTTTGCCAGATAACAACGTTGAAACATGATAATGTATTTCATTCCCTGTTGATCAGAGGAATTTGAGTAGAGTTTTGATCGGCATACAAGTTGTCATTAATTTCAGTTGTCATGAAGAAAGGTAATGTAATTCCATTTAAATCTACGTTTCTAGTAATTCATCGTGATTGTTATAAATTATACGATTGGAGGACTGTTTGGGTTTTGTTGTCGTTCTATTTTGGGTTATTTTTAGGTCGATTTTGTTATTACTTCGAAGGCACACCGATTCATTTTATACGTTATTAATGTGAATCTGAAAATTTTCATCTGGACATGTATGAATTTCTTACTGAATTCCTTCAAAAAGCAAGCAATATCTTGGTAGTTATATAAGTTTTCTGATCGATTCCTTTTTTTGTGGGTTGAAGATCTTCGAGAATTGGTTTACAGCATGAATGATTTAAGCTTGTGGTTGTGAAAAGTAACTGGTCCCACTGATTAGACCAAGATGATCGAATCATCAGATTCGCAAGTTACAAAATATTTTTCAGCAAATCCTGATTCTTCATCTCAAGCCATCAGTGAAGTTGATCAGAAACCTGATACTGGTAATATTGAAGAAGCAGAATCATCTCTCCGGGAGAGTAATTCTTTGAATTATGAGGTGGATTCTCTAACCATTTTTCTATGAAAATAAATGCATCTAATCATGTTTTTCCCCTACTTTTTTAATGTTTTTATACAGGAAGCAAGAGCATTACTAGGAAGATATGAATATCAAAAGGGAAACACAGAAGCTGCTCTTCATGTGTTTGAAGGGATAGATATGGCTGCAGCTACTCCAAAGATGAAAAATTAGCCTTAATGAATTAAGGAAACCTCAAAGACATTCATCTACTTATGGTGCTCCACCTTTCTCTATAAACACTGTTGGTTTACTCCTTGAAGCTGCTTATTTAAAGTCGAAATCTTTGCAGAATTTTGGGAGGTATAAAGGTATTCCTTTTATAAGTTAGGATCACACCAACATTGTCATATGCAAGAAATAGTAACATACTTTCGTTAATTTGTTTATTAATTAAATAAAAATAGGTTGTTATTTCTTGCATTTATCATCTATTGCTTTTGCAGAAGCTGCTGAATCATGCAAAGTTGTTCTGGATGTTATTGAATCATCATTCTCATTAGGCTTACCTCAAAACCTTGGAACCGATCATAAATTGCAAGAGACTCTAACCAACTCAGTCGGGTTACTTCCCGAGTTATATCAACTCGCTGAGTCACACCAGGAAGCAATCATATCATTCCGAAGAGCCCTACTCCATCACTGGAACCTCGACAAAGAAACAACAGCAAAAATTCAAAAACAATTTGCAATTTTTCTTCTCTACAGTGGATCAGAAGAAGCAAACCCTCCTAATTTCCGTTTCCAAACAGATGGTTCATTCATACCCAAAAACAACATAGAAGAAGCTATTCTAATTTTAATGATTCTACTGAGAAAAGTTTGTTTAAAGAAAATCGAGTGGGACCCAGATATCTTAGATCATCTTTCTTACGCGTTATCCATATCCGGTGGACTCGTTTCTTTGGGTAAACAATTGGAAGAATTACTTCCGGGGATAATTGAAAACAACGAAAGGTGTTTACTTTTAGCCCTATGTTACTATGCACAAAACGACTGTTCATCCGCTTTGAATTTGATAAAAATTATACAAGAAACCGATGATCGACATATCGTGTTGCCTTTATTAATCGCTTCAAAAATTCATTCTGAAACCTCGAATTCCGCAGAAGGAGTAAGGACTTCAAAGAGAGCGATTCATTTATTGAAAGATAAATGTGAGGAAATGATGGGTGTCGCGTATTCCTTTTTGGGTGTTTCTGTTTCATCCCATTCGAAATCTGAATCGGAATCACTTCAGTGTTTAGAAACAGCAGGGAGGTTGACCAAAATGGTTGACTCTCAAATCGTTTATCTTCTCGGTTTAGAAAGCGCTGAACAAAGAAAGCTGGACGATGCTTTTGGTTACGCGAATCGTTTGATCAATTTGGAAGGTGGGTCCCACGTCAGAGGGTGGATGCTATTGGCGCGAATCCTGTCAGCTCAAAAACGGTTTAAAGATGGCGAAAGTGTGATCAATGCCGCTTTGGATCAGACTGTGAAATGGGATCAAGGCGAGTTATTAAGAACTAAAGCCAAGTTACAACTCGCACGGGGTCAAGTGAAACGTGCTATTCAGACGTATACTCAGCTACTTGCTGTTCTTCAAGTTCAGTTGAAAAGCTTCGGATTCTCAAAGAAGAACCATGATCGGAAGTTGGAGTTAGAAACATGGAATGATCTTGCTAAGGTGTACATAAGATTGTCTCAATGGCAAGATGCTGAGGCGTGTTTGATGAAATCGAAGGCTATTTGTAACTATTCGGCTTCTACACGACATACCACTGGTACAAATTACAAAACAAATACCCTAAATTGAATTTTCCTCATATTCTAACCCGACCCGTAAAAAGCACTTGCTCTTACTCGAATTGAGATTTGAGATGGATTTTGTTGCAGGATTGTTGTATGAAGCTCAGGGTTTGAATAGACAAGCTTTAAAAGCATATAAACATGCGTTAGATGTGGATCCTGGTGATGTTGAGAGTCTTGTTTCCATGGCGGTGGTGTTGAGGAAGGTCGGTGGCGGGGCTGGAGCGGTGGGGCGGGGCTTTTTGAATGAAGCTCTGCGGGTGGACAGGATGAGGTCTTCGGTTTGGTATAATTTGGGGTTGTATCTTAGAGATGAGAGTCCGATGGAAGCTGCTGATTGTTTTGAGGCTGCTGGTGTATTAAAAGAAACAGAACCCATCGAACCCTTCAGATAAATAAATTAATAAACAATCGTATGTTTGTTTTAAAATTGTATATAATTTTTTTTTGAACTAAGATAGTTAAATATTAATAACTTAATATGAATGATTAGTTTGGGATAAAAAGTAGTTATAAATTGAAACCAAAATTAGTATTTGCTAATTCAATTGAAACCGAAATAAGATGGTAGACATGTTTGACAAAACTAACTTGTAGCTGGTAGTTGGTAACTTTTTGTTACATGTTACGTGACATAACTTTTAGATTTGTGGTGTTATGTTTAAACTACACGCTAAGAGCATTCACAATGAGGGTTTAATAAGAGTTGAATAGATGATGACTAGGATTGAATAGATGTTTGATGGGGTATAAGTGATGACATGGAGAAGAGTTGAATGAGAAAGTTGTATGATCATTGAGTGGTTCAATGGATTTAATATTTTTTTTTTCAATTAAGTTTCAAACCAAATACAGAAATCCATTAAACTATGTAGAGTTAAGTATAGTTGAATAAAAAGTGAAATGTTGATGTGTCAGTGATGTGACTCTATAGAGTTCAATGGATTATGGATCCCCTAAAAGCTTGTAGTGTCAAATGAATCTTTTGTTCAAAATGAAACGTTTTGTCAAACGCAAGAAGTTCTCAAACTTTTTGTGTCAAATACGTTTTGGTATATACTATATAGTTGGATGTTTAAGTTGGTATAAATATTAAGAATTCATAAAATTTTATAGTTTTTCAAACCCAAAGTACATGGAGCTATGGGATCCCTCATTGGAAGTAGGTGAACATGGTCCCGAAACTGGATTGAAACCAAAACAAAAATAATATGGAAACTCAATATCGAATCGCGAATTCGATTGGGGATTTCGGCTCCAATACCAAATTAGGATCGCGTGGTACCCCTTCCAAAGATTGAATACAAATATTTTTTTTTTTTACAAATTAGCAATGATTTTATAGGATTTGACACCGGTTTGTGTATGATACCAACAAAGCTTAAAATTAGTTTTCTGGAATATAACGACGGTATAATATGCTAGCATATTTAAAGTGTTACAAATTTGATATATCTCATAAACAAAATTGCAAAAATGATCCCTGTTGTTTGCCAATTTCTTTGGGTAAGGTCCAAAAAAAAGTTTATTAGCAAAAAAGGTTCTTATTTGATGGTTTAGCTAGGGGTGGAATTGGTACGGTACCAATTCATTTTTCTCTAAACCATGTACCGTACCAACTATAATTGGTATAAAAAAATTTCTACCGGTACCGTACCAAGTATACTTGGTACCAATTTATTTGGCTACCAACATGTTTGGTTGGTACAAATTGGTAATGGTATATATACCAACTTCTTTTAATTTTCTATTGTAACATTTAAAAATAAGCAAAGACATCGGGATTTTGATGTTTACTATAAAAATTAGTTAAATAGTTCTTTTTGTTTACAAAAGAATTCTACTAAAATAAAGACATCGGGATTTTAATGTTTAGTATACAAAATTAGGTACGTAGTTCTTTTAGTTTACAAAAGAATTATACTAAAGCAACGCTAAAGTAACGTTTTAATTTTATGCTTTAACGTGGTAATAACTATCGACTAATACAATCAAATGACTAATATAATGTTATTAAAACTGTAAACGCTAAACACAATTAAAAGTTGAAATATACGATTTCATTTATATATATATATATATATATATATATATATATATATATATATATATATATATATATATATATATATATATAAATTGGTTGGTACGGTATTACCATGGTATTAAAATTTTTGTACCATTACCGTACCAACATTGATCAATTGGTACGGTACTACCAACCAAACATGTTGGCTACCAAATATATTGGCTACCAAGTTTATTGGTTCGGTTGGTAACATGTTGGTTGGTTTTTCGTGGTACAATTTTGCCAGCCCTAGGTTTAGCTGTGAGTTTGGTCCCTATTTCGTTAACTTTAACATTTGGTTGTTAACTTTTTTAAAATGACAATTTTACCCTAAGGGACCATTTTTGCAGGTATCTCTTTTTATCAAATTACAAGGACCATTTCTGCAATTCTTCTTTTTAAATTTATTGAATTATTATATATTAAATCTTCTTTCTTTTTAATTTTATTGAACTATTATACGTTAATTTTTTTTTTAAATTTTTTTATTGGATTAATTTTTTATCTGATTATTATATATCAGTTAACTCTATTTTTAATATATAATATTTATATATTAATACATATTATATTATTATATTTCTCTATTTCTTGAAAATAAAGAATATTAAAATAATGGTAAATTACACAATTCCTCCCTCGTACAGGTGTAAAAATGCACGTTTAGTCCCTATTTTCAAAAATTAACTCGGACCGTCCATCGATTGGTTAAAAGTTGCACATGTCATCCCTCGTTAGTTTAAATTTGCACGTTTCATCCTTTGTGAGACATGAAATGACCGTTATGCCCTTATTATTATTATTTTGATTTATTTTTCCTTCTTACAAGTATTTATAAAATACAAAATAAAATAAAAAAATCACTATACCCACCTTATAACCTTATCCTAACCCTTTCCCTTTAAATCCTCTTTTCCCTAAACCACCAACAAACCACCACCGGAGAAGACAATATCTCGTCGGAGAAGAAAGTCATCGGATCACTACTCACCACCATCGACGAAGCACAACCCACTCCCTCTCTCTCTCTCCTCCTTCTCTGATCTTAATAAGAAACACACAAAAAAACGAAATTTGTAGAGAAAAAAAAGAGATCGATCAAGAGCTTTTCGACGATTGAGGGGGTTTACAAATGGCGGCGACAGAGAAGATGACCGACCAGAAGGGGACGGCAAAGATATTTCCGACAAAGGGAACCAGGTAAGTCAAACACATTTTCTATTGGCTAGGGTTTCGTCGAATGTGCACCGCCATTGACGTCGGTTGGGGTTTCAGAACCACTGCCTCTAAGATTTTCGTCAAGGAGGGTTTCAAAACGTCGAGGGTTTCGAATTAGCAGTTTTAGATCGTCAACCACATCGTCAAAGGGCGTGGATCGTGAAATCCATCATCAGGAACTACTCCACCTGCCTGATCGTGAAATCCACGGTCGCCTAGGGTCTCAGATCTAAGATTGTCGCCGCTAGGTTTCCAAACAACCACCACAGATTTCAGATAGAGCTACATTGTCAGTTTCATGTCTGATTTTCACTTTGGGGTTTGGTTTTGAATACAAGTTTCAAGAGGTGATGGTGGTGATATGTGGTGGTGTCAGATTTGAGAAAGAAGATATGGAAGAAAGGGAGGTGATAGAGTTAGATAGAGGATATGAAATAGAGAAAGCCATACCTCTAGAGAGGTTTGTGTGTGTGAGAGAGAGAGGGGGGGAGAGAAACAACGTTATCTAGTAGGTTCGGGTGGTGGTGGACTATGGTTTTCGGTGGTTCCTGCTGATTTCCAGGCGATGTAGAAGGAAAAGGGAAAATGTCACACCCCAAACTGGAACGGCGGAAACGTTCGGAGGCGGAGGATGTCATGTATAGTATCACAACAATGCATAATAGTAATCAAAGTACAACAAAAACCTTTGTTAACTTTTGTAAGAATCTGGAATACAGTTGTTCTACGAAATCCACTGTTTGTACTCGAATAGTACTAAACAGTTTGAAAAACCATTTTATATTTATATAAATGTAATATTTATATAATTGTGATTAATTAGACCTTCGATTAAATAACTTTACTGTGACAACCCGAAATTTTTTGCTTTGTAAAGTCAGTACAATCAACCTTAAGTCAGACTCACTCCTACTATCTTTTAGCACTGTTTAGAGTCTGTTTGAGTGTTCTAAGCCTAGTACATTCAAGGAATGAGTGTTAGGAAGTACCTGCTAAAGACACTGTGCAACATTCTAGCCTTAAACCCCACCAAAATGAGTTCACGACCATAGCACATGAGTTTACGGCCGTAAACTCAAGGTTGGCCGTAAACTCCCCCATAAGTTTCATTCCCTTCACTTATTCTTTCATTCTTACACTTTCAACTCAAGAACACTTCCACTCTCTCTCAAGTATCATCAAGATTTTCATTCCCGATCATCAAAAATGTAAGTGATTCTTCCCTCTAGTTGTTGTTATCCTTCTTACTCATGAATCACCCTTTGATTTCATCCATGGAAATCAACTTTTTGCTAGATCTTCATCTTTCACCAAGAACACACACTTGTTCTTGGTGGCCGTAAACTCCTCAAAGGCCCTCAAAAGTGTGAGTATTCCATCTATCATCTAGTTAGCCATGTTAAACACTATATCATAGTCTTGAAACATCATCAATATCATAAACTTCAAGAGTTTACGGCCGTAAACTCTTAGTTATGGCCGTAAACCCTTGTTTTTTGGTCATGTCTTGAGCCTTAAACACTTCTAGACACTAGCTATCCATTAGAACACATAAACTTTGAAACCCCTTGCCTTTAAAACCGAAAATGAGACCATTTGGAGTGTTTACGGCCGTACACTCTTGGTGTGGCCGTAAACACCTCAACACCTTCTAAAAGGTTAGTTTTGCTCATCCTCTTGTAGAGCAATAGTCCCACAAGTTTCCCTAGCATTCAAACACCCTCTTGTGTACATTTTACCATGAGTTTACGGTCGTAAACTCCATGGCTGTAAACACCATTTGGTGGCCATAAACATCCCTTTGATGAATCACATGTGATTCCATCACTTAGTCCAAGTCCCTAAGGGTGTTTCCTAGCATGTTAGTTGTTTAAAACACTAAATTGATGCCATTATATGCCATATATGTCTTTTAGGACTCGTTTGTGTCTCGGGACTTCATTCGTGGAACTTCTCATCCTTACGCGTATATTCGTTTGAATCACCCACATAAGGTGAGTTCATACCCCTATAATGAATCTTTTAACTGTTTTAAATGCATTTAGGGGGGGATACAAGTTGAACACAATGATAATTGTGTAATTGTTTGTTATAAACATCTTTCAAAAGATTGCTTATGTCTTTTATAAGTGATCAAAACATT